CCCAGCCCCGTCCCCCTCACCCCCCCGGGGCTGACCTCCCCCGGCCTCCCCCTGCCCCTGCCCGACCCCTGGCTCCAGGGCTGGCTCCGCACCAGCCCGGCAGCTGGAACTCGGTGAAGCCGCGTCTTTCCCAGTAAAATAGGTGGGATTTGGGGGCAGGTTTTGAGACCCTAACGCAGGGCTGCTCCGCGAGCCGGCCGAACCGACCCGCGGAGGCTCGCGCGAATGGCGGCACCTTCATTGACCAAAGCACCCCAGGAGAGGCCTGAGGACGGGTCCATGGCTGGGAAAACCAGGAATCCTTGCTTGCGCGGGGCTGCGGCGGGGCCAAGGCGGCCGTGCCCGCCCCGGTCCTCCAGCAGCCCCCAGGTGCCGGTTTCTGGGAGCGGGGACGCGTTGGGTGCTGCGGGACCGGTCCCCACGGGGCGATGCTGCACCCGGCCGGCGCAGGGCCCTCCGTGCTGCCGCCGTCCCGGGAGCCTCTCCTTCCCTCAGCACCTTCCCGGACTCCTCTGGGTTTAAACTGCCCCAGGCCAAGCACCAGCCAACATCTCCCACCTCCAGCCGCAGCACCCGGGCGGCGGGGAGCACCCGTACCCCTCCGATTGCATGCCCGCTACAGAAGAGAGCCTCTCTTGTTGTTTAAAAGCCCCAAACGCACCCAAATCCAGGAGCACTTCCCTGCGGCCGTGTAACGGTACAAACCTGAGGGAAGCAGGTAAGGCCGGGTCCTCTCGCACAAGGGGTTTAAATATTTGAACCAAGCTTAGAGATACCTCTTTAGGGACAAACACCAAGCTGTTTTCTGAATACCTACTGGCCTGAATACTTACGCAAACAGAGCCAGCACAGTGCCGAGCATTACACGCTGCCCCGACAGCTGTTCCCGCGGGGCTCACCCCCAGCCCTGTCTCTGCCTTTGGGGCCAGCGAGGCTGGCTGCAGTTTGCAAGGAGCAATTTTTGCTCCTCTCCTCTTCAGAGGGCTCAGCTATGACCTCTTATTTCTGCTTTCTCCTTCCCTCTTGTGGACATGAAAGCTCAAAAGGGAAAAGGAAAACCCAAGTCCTCAAGCTGCAGCTTTCCGCTGCAAATCTTTCAAGCTGATTCTGCCTGCTCCAGGTTTCCACCGCGTCTCCCAGGGATCCATTCCCTGTCTAAAGCAAACTGTGTTTCAGGATGATGCTTGAACCAAGCAGAGACATGTCAATCGAAGCATGTTTTGCAAACGACAGCTCCTGTCTCAGGGCCGCAGTGGTTCAGACAGGCTCGGATTAGGCTGGCACTGCAGCACCCGCGTCCAGATGCCCCAGTGCAAACACGTGCACGCTGCGCACCCAGGGACCCGCTCCAACAGCGGAACAGCCGTCGGCTGTATCTATCGCAGGCACGTTTCTGCTACGCCGCCTTCCTCGTATGCTGGCACGAAGCTTCGCTGCTCCTCTGGAGTCTCTAAGCGGGAGGATAAAACTGTCAGCTGCGGTGCGTGGATGCCTGCTGCAGAGCTGGCTCCGCTCTTTCCCCAGGGCAGAGGGAGAGGAGGACAACACAAACCTGCGGCACGGCACCGAGCAGAGCCTTGGCTGGGAGCCTTGCAGCGAGGCGGTGGGTCTGAGCCGCCTTTGGTGTCGCCGGGAGAGCTGTGGAGAATAAATCCCCTGAGGGTTACCGGCTCCGGAGACTCACGCCATGCACAGACCATCCCTGTGCCACCAGCCCCTGCAGCCTGGGAGGGTTGGTAGCCTTACACCGTGCCTTTTCCTTTTGCTTTCGGCCACCCTCGGAGAGCAGACCCCCAGCCTGCCGCACCCCTGCCCAAATAACCCATCTACGGCTCAGGCCAGGACTTTATTTTACAGTTTCTGGACAGGGGATCCTGCTCCTGATCTTTGCACACAAGGCTGCGGCCTGCAAGCTGCACTGCTGTTTGGGAAGAAACTGGGTGTTTTCCCTCATCTTTTTTACGTCTCGCCCTGCAGCGTGCGGGTGAGCCTGGCCTCTCCGCCAGCTGGCCGCAGCTCAGGGGAGACCAAAGACACCACCAGTGCCAATAAACCCAAACGCCAGTGCCTTCCTGTGGGTGTTTGAGGGCGCAGGGAGCTGGGGCAGCTCCCGAAGGGTGAAATCTCCCTGGGGACGGGCTTTCCCCGTTTTAGCCTTACAACCCCGACGGGCTGTGGCCTGAGGATGCAGCACAGCTCTCGCCGAGGGCGCGTGGCCAGTCTGGGATCAGGAGGGGAAGGCAGAGCTGTGCTGCCGTGTCGCGGCACCTCCTTGTGCCCCGCGGGACGGCCGGCTTTCCTCTGCGCCGCTC